GGCTGAATCACTTATGCTTTTTCTAGGTGAAAATATCACCTTTATAGCCAAAGTCAAGGCTGAAGATCTTCTGAGAAAACCCACTATCAAATGGTTCAAAGGGAAATGGATGGATCTGGCCAGCAAAGCGGGGAAGCACTTGCAGCTGAAGGAAAGCTTCGAAAGGCATTCTCGGGTATGGCCCTGAACTCCCGGCACAGGGGCCCAGCTAGCTTGTCCCATCTGTGTGGGTAATTGGTCATTTTCAGGTTCAGCTTTGACAGATTTCAGTTCCAGAAAATTCTCTGGAAGTTACCATTCCTAGTGTCTACACTCTACTGTGATTGCCTGCTGTGCCCAGGGGCTGCAGATCCATTTACCCTCCTATATTGAGTATGTCGTACTAGAATTCCTAGAGACAGACACACCTTTAAGCGAATGCTGAGGAATTCGGAAAAGAAGTAAAATGTGATGGCCCCTTGCTGTCAGGAACATAGGACTGCAGTGTGTCTGGATGCGTTTCATTGCAGGTGTACACATTCGAGATGCAGATTATCAAGGCCAAAGAGAACTTTGCAGGAAACTACAGATGCGAGGTCACCTACAAGGATAAGTTTGACAGCTGTTCATTTGATCTCGAAGTGCGTGGTAAGAGTGCCTTCTTGCCTGGATAAATGTGACTTTGTTTTTATGGGTGTGAAGGGACGGGGAAGGAGGCCATTTAATAGTATGAGATGGGGGGAGGGAATTCCATTAAAACTGTGTGTTTCTGGTTGTGGTATTCTAGGCAAGTGTGCTGAATTAAGTTATTATGGGAGAATTGGAGTTGGGGGAATTTCATTACTAAGTATCTCTATCCGTGTTAACTGTATTCGTTCAATCTCCCAGATAAGACATGCTGTCATTTTTTACTGCTACAGAATGTATCTATTTCATTGGTCCACTTTCCCACTCAGGTTTAGGGGATAAGGTATGAGGATGTCAAGATACCCAGGTGGAAGAATTTCTCGTATAAGGACTAATGTCAGAAATGGAACTCCTCTATCCATATGTTCTATGTACTGCCCAGAATGAACTTAATAGGGATAAATGTAAAGGTGTATATTTAACTTGGGGGGAAGAAACCCTTTTATGAGTATGCAAAGGAAAAGTTGACTTGGCAGCAAAGATCATACACTTAAGATGAATCCAAAGTGTGATGTTGCTGCAAAAGACAGACAAAGCTAGTGTAATTTTAAATTGATCTATTCCAAATGGTATAGGATCTCAGTTTAGGAAATGATACTTCTCTGTGCAACAGTCTACTTGTTCCACATGTGGAGTGTTATCTTTGGCCATGGGTACCACACCTCAACCTGGATCCCTTCAGGAGCAGAGCAACCAGAAGGACAAAGAATCCAGAAACCACACCCTATCCAGCTTGAGTATGTGGATGAAGGACGTTAGGCATAGGCAGCTCGTTGCAAAGAGGGGAAGGAAGGGCTGTCACACAGAACGAGGAGAAGTCCCTTTTCCATGAACCTGAGAAGCACCTAGGCAGGTTAGAATCAAAAGGTGGAAATTAAGAGGAGGTGACTTTTGTCTTAACATTAGGATAAGCTGTTTCATTAAAGCTATGCAGACAGTCCGGGAAGGCTGTGTGATTCCCATTCGGAGAGATCTCAGGCAGAGGCTGGATGATGGGTGGGGTGGTGCTGAGATTTCTGGATTAAGCAGGACTCTGGCCCTGAGCAGCACTCCTTGGCTGGGCATCTCTGAGAATCACCTGGAAGGCTTTTGAAGAATATTGATTTCTGGGTATCCCTGATCTGATGGTTCAAAATCTCCAGCAGGGAGGATCAAGAAACTGATATTTTTTAAAGTTCCTCAGGTGATTCTAATGCACAGGCAGGTCAAATGAAAACTGGACAAGATAAACCCTAAGGTCCCCTCACTGGTTCTTCATGAGGAAGGACGAGGGAGGATGATGCTTGGCAGCTCAGCCTTCCAGGAGAGCCAGGCCCCCTTTACCTGACGTTTTTTCCACCTGAAGAATCCCCACCACCTATAAAGGAACAGAACTCAAACTACCTTCTTAATGGTTATTTATTTTACTGTTTTCTTTCCTTTCAAAGAATCTACTGGGACTACTCCAAACATTGACATCAGATCTGCTTTCAAGAGAAGGTAACTTAAAAGGAAAATCTATTACAGATAGCTTTTATATAACATGGAAGCGAAGGATTTTTCAAAATATACTTCCCTTCCTCCACACCCCATATTCCAAATAAGAATAACCCTTTTCACTGTAGTCAAACACACCATATATTTAAAAGTTGGTGTTCTAGAAAAGCCATGGATTCAATGCCCAATCAAGCATATATTGATCATTTTCTAGAATATTCTTGTTATGGTGAAGCTCCCATTTTTATAGATTTCACAGTTGCCTTAGAAAGACACTCTATCTATACATATGTGGCTTCTTCTTTAATTGCATTATTTTCCACCAAATGGCCAGAAGAGATATACAAACAGATACATTTCATATAGCATCAGTTAAGCAATGTCAGAAAACTTTTATTTATATTGCTTTTCATCTAAAAATCACTTACAGAGCTATTAAACCATATGCCCAAGAAAACCACAGTTAAGTAGCTACTTACCGAAGTTAATACCATATAATATTGAATCATCCTAAATGAAAGGCTACTGAGTCTGCTGGCATTAAGAATACCATAGAAAGGCAAAATTTAGATACCTATTTATTTTCACAACTGCCAAGGCTGAAAAATCAGGGGGTCAAGGAAGAAAAATAAATTTTTTTTTTTTGTTTCTGAGAAACATAACAAATCCTTCCTGCCATTATGTTACTTTCCGTACTTAATTATTCCATAATATAAATTCTTATGAGAGTAAATGTTTTGTTCTTCCTAAGTCTGAATCCGCATATAGTTTTGTTAAATAAGGAAAGTCATCCCAAACTATTAGAAAACAATTATTTAGTCAGCTAATAAAGGGCATATTTCCCTTTTAAAATACAAATAAATAAAATTTTAATTACTTTGAAAAGATATTTAATATGACTGGTATTCTTGTATTTTTTGATATTTTTTACTTTTAAAAAATCCACAACTTTCAAGCCCTGTCACTTTTCAACAAATACACAGGTCTAAAACTAAGCGTGTACCATGTACAAGTATATTTTAGGAGATGAGGACAAAATCTACTAAGTTTTGTGCTTTAAAAGAATGGAAATGTATTTACTTCAAAAGGCCTCCAAACCCCTGCTATTGAAGACATTTTGAAAACACATTATTTAAGTTTAATTCTTATGACTTACATGTTATGCACACTGTTTTTAAACCCGCAGACTCTTTTCTTAGAAACCATAACTAACATTTGTAAAGAGCAGGAAACAAAATCTTCATTAAAAAATTAAACATGTAAGTAAATATGTAGTGCCATTTAAATGTTAGCTCTATAGCTTCTATTTAGAGTTTATATACAATCACAATGGTGGCTGCATGCCTAAATTAAGATGCATTTCTCCATAGGAAAGCACTTTTAAAAACTACCGGTAAAGGATTAACTATTCAAAGACAAGTTTGGAAAAACATGTTTTAAAAGGTGTAAATATTAACAAGAAAATTAAGATAATTACTTCCCTTTAAAACAGAAAGGAATGCATCTTTTAAAAGACTCTGTGTTAGCTCCATTTTTATGCTATGTTGGTATTACATTATCTGATTCATCTATCCATGGACACAAAGAGGTTACCTTTGAATATAAGGCTTTGTACTTATATACCTGACATTGGTACACTTCGTCCTCCAAGCCAATCTCTGTCTTACCTGAATAACAGAGATCAGCAAAAGTCCTTTGCTTTTTACACAGGTATGTTTCTAGAGCCCCCAACTTGCAAAAACAAAGTACTTTGTGTTGTTTGGCTTAAGTGCATTTGTGTTATCTGGTTTTAACACAAATCCAAGCAGTTTTATATATGCAATCTTCAAAAATGTGTCTTCTTGAAATCGTAGAGTAACACAAGCTCCTCATGTTTACTTTTCCACAAGTACATACTCCAAAAGCTTAAAATGTCACTTGTGTGAAAAGAAATAGTTTGTGTTGATTTAGTCCCGGTGTGCTGGTACAAAATTGCATATACGTTATATGTAGAGTGTCTGGGGGAAGCTGTTGGGTATGTCTTGGCATTAAACGCAGATTTGCTTTTCTTTTGTTAATGACAGTGGAGAAGGTCAAGAGGATGCAGGGGAACTTGACTTTAGTGGTCTCCTGAAACGTAGGTGAGAACCAAGCAATGGAGTGAGGCACTGTGGCCTGGAAATCTTTTAGACAACTCAAGAGAAGTCAAGTTGAAAGTGGATGTTTTTCAAAAAATTTTTCATTTCTTATAATGTGTTTTGCTTATGGAATATAACAGAATCAACTAAAAAGGAGAAACAACTGCATACTAATCTGTCAATGACTTTAGCTGATGCTTTTAAACTTCTTTTTAAATGTTTCATGAATCTTCACATATTTTCTTAGTTGGGGATGGGGAGATTTGAAAACTGAGACATAAAACTTAAATGCTGAGAAACTTCTAAGACAGTACACATGATTTCTTCTCATGATTAAGTAAATAAAGTCTCCATTCTCCTGCCTTATTTACTATTTCACCAAAAAATCAATTTCACAATTTTGGTAGAAGTCTGCAGAGATATATATATATATATATATTTTTTTTTTTTAAAGAGGCAGACCTACTTTAATATACAATTTATGATTTACTGTATTTCTTCAAGTCTAATACACCATTGATTTTAAGATACACCAGTATTTTATAAAACACTAAGCAATGGAAAAACAATTTATGTAAAACTGTAAGTGGTTTATGATACACTATTGATTATAATATGCATTCTTATTTCAGAGATGTTTAAAATGCCCCAAAAATGTGCATTTTAGAAGTGATAAAATGGAAATAAATGTTTAGTATTATCACTCATTCACACTCCCTTGACATTGTTCTCTCTTGCAATAAAATATATAAAATTTCATTATGGATATTTAGCACATAGTAATTTTATAGGATTTCTGTCCACATATATGCACGTTATATAATCATAATATTTTATATATAAAGTTATACATATCTAGATATTTACTGTAGTGCAGAAGCAGCAAAAATGATTTTTGCTGGGATTGTGTTTTATCTAGCAAATTTGTTAATAAAGAGTAAAATTACAATTCTAAATTAACAGCATATAATATCAGTTTATATTTAGCTTTTCAGATTCTTAAATGACTTTTAGTGCTTCCTATGGTTATTAAAGGAACTCAAGTACAAATATGCTTCACAACAAGTTATAAGTACAATAAACTAGGCTTGTGTATATTCTCAGTTTAGTTGGATGGCTTTATTCAAGCCCCTGTGAATGAAAAATTCACCCCAGCCCTCAACATTTAGCTTGAGAACAGAAATATTAACAGATGTGATTTATTAATTACTGATAGATATTAGTCAATCAACAGACTGTGGCAATATCAAATACATTTTTTTTCCTTTGGATACTTCAAATAATCATTCATCTCAATAATATTAATTCCCCAAATGCATTCAAAGCAATAGTATATGAAGTGCCCTTAAGCGAGCTTTACTCTTTCTCATTTTACAGGTAAGAAACCAAGGTCCAGAGATGTCAAGGGATTTACCACATGTCACACAGGAGTTAGACGCAGGGCAGAGACTCAAATACAAGTTTCCTTTTCCTGAGTCAGCTCATTTCGTGTAACACATACCAGCCTGAATCTGACTTTGAAATCTGAATTTGTGTTTACAACACAAATTGACATTTTTAGGAAGACAAGAAGGCTTTTTATTCTCCCTGCAATTATTTACTCAACCAGGAAAACACCAAATGCTTTCTGTGTGCAAAATATAATGCTAGGTGATACGAGGAAAAGAAATTCAGTGCCTGGCACATTAGAAAGGGATGAATGGATATTCGTGGGAGGGAAAAGGGAATGGGAAAAACATGGATTTGAGTCTCAACTTTACCATTTACTAATATGTGACTTTGGTCAAAATATAAGACCCCTCTGGGACTTGGTTTCCACATCTGTAAATGTGAAGAATAAAAATTACTTAATAGACTTATTGTGAGAATTAGATTAGATGTAAAAGGCTTGGCTCACAGTGGGTGGTGAATAAATATTCACTTCCACTAAGGAAATGGGACATTTTTCCCTCAGAGCTTATATTCATAAAGAGACAAAATACACATGCACAATCAATAAAAATGTGGTACAGTAGATTAAAGTACAGTACTATGCTCCAATTAAAAAGGAAAAAGAAAGAAAAGAGAACAGACTGGTCCTACCAATAGTTCTAGAATAAAAGAAATCTAATATATGATAAAAAGAAAAAAATCATTTAAAAAATGGGCAGCCACTATGTCTCCAGTTCTCATTTTCTTTATATCCCCTAATTATGATTTTGATTCAAAATTAGATTGTTGTTAACATTATGACTATGTTCGTTTGTCCTAATGCACTAGTATAACTTTAAAAATCATTGTGTTTTCCTACTAATTTGTGAATTGCATGTGTTTTTATTGTGGTAATGACACACAGTTACCATTTCTACTCCTCTGAGAGTGTGCGGCAAAATCCCTATCAGAGTAAATATCATTACGACCAACATCTCTGTACAACAAAAGATCTCCCTGCCCTGAACAAAGCCAGCTGATATCAAACAGACATTAGCTAAATCAGAGTAAATCCGATACGGGCAGCATCCTGTTATGGGATTTGACCTGTATAAATACTTGAAAGTTTTATTCTACATAAAATTTCTATAACTGCTATATTCACTAGAACCATTAAGTTATAGAAATTTGGATGTAGATGAAAGTACTGTGGACATTATACAGGTCTATCCCACGGCTTGGAAAGGAATCAGAGATGCCTTTAGAAATTTGGCTTTTTCTCCTCACTGTAACTTAACTGTGCAGACAGGGTTATGTGCAGCCACCATGGTAAGTAAAGCTATGTTCCAGGTGATTTAAAGAAATGATACAGGTGAGAGCCTGACCTCACATTCCAGTACAAGATAAATGCTTCTTTTTGCAATTCGGGATATAATTAAGTGATGAAGAGAAAAGGAAGGACTAGGCAAGAGGTCATTGGTGTTCTTATATGAAACTTTATAAGATAGGAATGTGGTAGAGTGCAATATAACTTGGCATTTTAATGAAAAAATAGTGAGGATGATCAGTTTTATGAATCTACCAATAAAACTGGCTCAAGAAATCACACTAAAAATGATGATCTTTATTACTGGCTTCCTTCATGTAAATATTCACCTCCATAGATCTAAGTATGACTTGGTGTTGTCTTGTGCCTCTTGTTAGCTACTTTAATTATATGTAGCTTGATAGCTTTAAATCCTTCCACCAATGTCAGGAGGATACTTGAAATGTGTATATCTGTAATTCTTGGTTAAAATACAAATTTAACTAATCAAGTATGGCATAATTTGGGGACTATATTTAAGCTGGAATATGACAAAAATAGAGCATTAATAAAGTAAATTGAGAAAAAACCCCACAGAGAATATATACATATGTATATACATATTCATCTTAATTGCAGTTCTCTTAGATTTACTACTAAAATATTCAAAGGATGCATCGGAAGCACAGACTGTTTTCAGGCAGTAGATTTGGTATATGTAGCAAATTATTACCAATACTCCAATTTTAGGACAGGTTTCTTAAATTTTTCCATTTCCCCATGTTAATAAAGGGTATAGTTATCATTTCAGCAAAGTGAAGATAACACTGTGTCTTGAGTTTTTAGAGGCACATTTGCCTAATAGTGTCATCCAGTCCTTCCCATCAGGAATACTGGTGAACCAATGACCTCTCACATTCCTTCCGTTTTCCAGGTTTGCTTCAGTGTCCCCCTATCCCTTGGGCAAAAAGATCTACACAACAATGTAAAATGGAAATTAGATATTTACCTAATGCCACCCTAAACTCTATGTTAATGTTTATATTCTCCTCCCCTCCCCATATACTTTACCCATGATTACAACCCAGTATTTCCCTGTCAAAGTAGATATGGATATAAAGAAGGAACTCTGAAACAGGCGTCATTAATGTGACAATGCAAACATATGTAACCCATCATTCCCTAATATGATAGCACGAATCCATTTTTGCATTGGTGTATAAGATATATTGACCAGTTTTCCAGAAAATCATATCCAAAACAGCATTACTCGCAATAAGTAGTCACTATAACATTTCCAAATTAACTGGATAAAAATATTCCAAAAAAACTCTTAAAATCAGGGCTATTTAGCCAGTGAAGTAAATCAATTCATTCAGACTAAGCCTCTTTTCCTAAAGAGTATTTATTCCTGAGTTTGGGTTTCACTTTGAGGTTTTAAAACAGGAGAAGACAAGTGTCCTTTAAATGTTATATTTTTTTAGTTATATGTGTTCTCTGTATATTCTATACATTCCTTAGTCAATGATCAAAATTTGGGGTCATAATTTTGATAATTAATCTAAGAAGTTACTTTCCCCTAATTTATGGAATCCTAAACCACTTACTTTATAGTTTAACATTTATAGGTTGTTTTTTGTTCTTTTGAGACAGGGTCTCATTCTGTCACCCTGGATAGAGCACAGTGGCCTCATCCTAGCTCACTATAACCTCCAACTCTTGGGCTCAAGCGATCCTCCTGCCTCAGCCTCCCCCATAGCTGGGACTACAGGCACACACCACCAGCCACCATGGCAGGCTAATTTTTCTATTTTTTGCAGAGACAGGGTCTTGCTCTTTCTCAGGCTGGTCTGGAACTCCTGGGCTCAAGTGATCCTCCCATCTCAGCCTCCCAAAGTGATGGGATTACGGCTGTGAGCCACCGCACCCGACCAACATTTATGTTTTATAATTCACACCCAACCTGCTTCCAAAACACATTCTAGAGTACTTTAAGATGAAATATGAGAGAATTTCCTTTTTCCCCTGTCTAAATTTAGAAAGAAAAATTTATTTTAAAAAGCTTTGAAATCCACAAAAAGCATATGAAAAACAAACAAAAAACCTTCATGGCAGTTTCAAATGTTTTTTGTGTTTAAAACACAGCAGAAATGGTTTATGTACATATTTGCTAATATGGTAGGAAAAATGCTATTTGCAAAATCGAGACGTTTGAAATAAATATATTTGTATTGTCTCCGTATTTAGCTAGGGTGTGTACATCAATGAAGGTAGAAAGAGATCATTTTTCTTTCCTAAGCCAATATTTAAATCTTTTAGTTCTTAATCCAGTGTTCAGAATGAATTCAGTATTCATATCCTAGATTAAAACCATTCTTAAGTGTCTCAAAATCCCATGTTGTAATTAGACTTTAAACTTGAAAATAAGTAAAAATATTTTCAGTGTATTTCCTGATATCCTTTGCTCTCCCTAAAATTGCATTTTTAACTAGGAATATGAAACTGTTACTCTAAGTGCACATATTTGATCTTTTACTATCTGGAAGTTTCTCTAAGACTTTAAGCAAGGCAAGTAGACTCACTTCTGGGCTTTTAAGTACTCAAACTTGAAACAGAGCTTTTCACCTTGAAATGAACTATCAGAATCATACCCCGACCATCCTTGTCTTTAAAGGGCCAGTACAGCCACTAAACTAGGCAATGGTTCTCCCCGCTTAGGGAGGTGAAGCAGCAGGAGGAAGAACCCGAGATAGACGTGTGGGAGCTGCTGAAGAATGCCAACCCCAGCGAGTATGAGAAGATCGCCTTCCAGTACGGCATCACCGACTTGCGCGGCATGCTCAAGCGGCTCAAGCGCATGCGCAGAGTGGAGAAGAAGAGCGCAGGTGAGCGCGCCCGTGGGGAGTCAAAGGGCGGGGGGCGTAGCAGCCGGGGTCGTGTTCTGTGCGCTGGAAAGTCTTGACCTTGAACCCGGTTCCGTGCTCCTTCCGTCTCCCACCGGGTTTGGGGTGGGGCTGGATGGGAGCGCAGGGCTTGCGCGCCCCTTGGTTACCTTTGGCTTCAGGTGTGGTAGTTCGCTGCCCCGCGCCTCGCTGGCTGTGCGGGGAGCGGACGGCTTCTGAAGGTTTAAGGTAGCAGATCTCCCTCGCTCTCAAATTCTTGCTTTTTACTTAGGTAGAGTACATTCTCCGTCTCTGTCTTACCATCATACTCCTCCACCCGTCGGATGGGGCGTGGGGAGTTCACTGCCTCACGCCCAGTACGGTTATCAAAATGTTTTGTACAACAGCTGTGCTGCTGCCCGGATATCTGAAGTGGATCCAGTTTATTGTGGTTTTAAATTCCTTTTTAAAAGTGGAAAGAAAAAAGAGAAAGAAATACATTTTTAATTGATCATTAACTCCTCAAAGTTTCCTATACTGGGTCATTGTCAGTTATCGGTTTGTGACACATTGGGATAATATATCTATCCGCTTATTGTTTTGTTAATGTTCAAATAGAATTTAAAGACTCTCACAACCTCTTTTAAAAATATGTCCTTTATTTCTAAACTTCCCTGTAAATTGATTGAGAAATGGCCCCAGAGAAAGACAGAAGGGTTTTGTTGTTTTCTTTACATAACTCAGCCATTTCCATTATCCCAGAACTCCTGAAGTTCTATTTCAAGAGGTATGGGAACTGTATAGTCACAAACATGGGAATCCCAGGGTGCCAGCTGACATCTCTTTGCCCCATGCTGGCCTTTCTTATTCTTATCACTTCGTTCTGAATTCATGTTTTAAGGTATGTGATAGATAACTTTTTTTTTTTAAGTTAGTGCTTATTTTATCTTGTTAAAATATGAGAAGATGATCTTATTTAAGTAATAGTATAATCAGGTTGGGATGATGGAAATACGAGAATGATAACATGAAGCATTTCACACTTACATGTATTTTCCAAACTGAATGAGAATTATTATCTTTAAAATCAGTAAAAAATATTAAATGAAAAAAAAGAAGTTAACTACCTCTGTTTAGGACCTTTCAAAGACAATATTTTTTTTAAAAAAAATTACCGTGTTCTACGTTATTTAAAATGTTTGGAAACCTGAGTTCCTAACCATATATGCAAGGGGTGTTTTAAAAATGCCACTATTTGGGCAAGTTTCCACAGTACAAAAACTTTGATAGGTCCACTATTTCAATTATTCAAAGGCATTTAATTTGATCTTATGAATCTACTAAACTTATCATATAAATTCTATGATTTAAAAAAACTGTGACATAGAAGTATAGAAATAATATCAATGATCCCCATAGTAATCACGC